TATATATTACTAGTAATGTAATAGTATATATTACTAAGATTTTATATATTATTAATGAGAAACGCTTATGTTATGTACTTAAAAATTTGCTATTACTGAATATATTTTAATTTTATAACTTGAAGTATCTCTATCATACACTCAAGACGCTTTTCTTCAGGTACAGACTTAAGAGCATATCCAATAGCAGCCAAGACTGGATCATTCTCAGATGATGCTGAGGAAAGAGTAGAACTACATGGACTTGACTTCACCAAAGAGTTACCTAATTTTGTAGCAAAAGAAGTCAGCGCTGTTGATTGTTTGGTCATGGCTTGCATAAGCAAATCATCATTTTTCTTTCTTCGTTTAGCAAAATTATCAGGCTCAGGACAAACTTTTTTTGTTGATGAGGATACCTTCTGCATCGTTTTCAGTATATTCTTGGATGTTAATGCAGAATATTCTTCTACATTAAGACTACTGGGCGAATTTTCTTTATTATCATCCTCAATCGAGAATCCAGATGCACTGTCACCTGCAAATTAAAAATAAATAAATAAAAATATGCATTTCTTAATTCACTCCATATTACATACATTTGTACAAGAGATCATTACCGCTAAACGCTGATTCCAAATCACTTGTAGACCATATACTTGATGGAGACAAAACTGCTTGTGGAGATGGTACTTGTGGAGACGGTGCTCGTGGAGACGGTGCTTGTGGAGACTGTGCTTGTGGAGACGGTGCTCGTGGAGACAGTGCTTGTGGAGACGCTACTCGTGGAGATAGTACTTGTGGAGACAGTATTTGTGAAGATAGTAATTGTGAAGACAATATTTGTGAAGATGGTACTTGTGGAGATAATGCTTGTGGAGGTATTGATCTTGGTGCAGATAATGGAGAAAGTGATGGTGAAGGCAGAATATAAATATCGGAGAAGGAGAAATTTTTCCAATAGTTGTGGTATTTTTCACATTCTTTGACGTGTAATTACTGACAGTTCTGAAACACCAAATATCATATCATTATCTAATGTCGTAACAAGTTAATTTAATTTGTAAATGGTAATTACATA